TTATACTCGGTACCTGTTTTAAGAAAAAAACAAGGAAGTAAAACGAAAGACAGGCAGCCCAGCGCCAGGCCCAAAACCAGGCCTGGGCCTGCCTGGCCTAAACCCAGTAGTTAAAAATCAACTCCTAACTTAGAAACCGATGTTATCCATAGAGTCCAGACATGGTGTGGAAGAACACTGTGAAGCTCCCTGCCCTGTTCTGTTTCACTCTGACCACCGGTGCATGCAGCCCCTGTCACATACCCCCTGCCTGCTCCAATCAATCACGACCCTTTCACGTGAAATCTTTAGTGTTGTGAGCCCCTAAAAGAGACAGAAATTGTGCACTTGGGGAGCTCGGATTTTGAGACAGTAGCTTGCCGATACTCCCAGCTGAATAAAGCCCTTTCTTCTACAACTCGGTGTCTGAGAGGTTTTGTCTGCGGCTCGTCCTGCTACATACCTATCTATCCATCATCTATCTGTCTGCCTATCTATCTGTATCTATCTATCTATCCATCGTCATCTATCTATATATCTATCCATCATCTATCTATCCATCATCTATTTATCATCTATGTATCTCATTATCTGTCTCTATTTCTAAATTATCTATCTAATCTATCTAATACCAATGAATCTATCTATTGCCTGTTTATCATCTAATATACTTATCTATTGTCATCAATTTGTCTACTATTTATATCCATCTGTCATCTATTACCTATCTACCTAATCTATGCATATCTAACTACCTGTTATCTATTATCCATCAATCATCTAATCTATTTTTTATTTTTATTTTTTTGAGACAGAGTCTTGCTCTGTCACCCAGGTTGGAGTACAATGGTGCGATCTTGGCTCACTGCAACCTCCGCCTCCCTGGTTCAAGCGATTCTCCTGCCCCAGCTTCCCGAGTAGCTGGGGTTACGGGTGCGCGCCACCACGCCTAGTTAATTTTTTGTATCTTTAGTAGAGACAGGATTGCACCATGTTGGCCGGGCTGGTCTTGAACTCCTGAACTCATGATCCGCCTCTGGCTCCCAAAATGCTGCGATGACAGGCGTGAGCCACTGCACCCAGCTAATCTATCTCTTATCTATGACTATCAATCATCTATTACCTGTTATTTCTCTGTTGTCCATCAGTTATCTAGTTTAGCTACTATCTATATCATCTAGCTATCATCTATCAATCATCAAATCTATACATCTATCTTATGGACCGATGTATCTATGTACGTCTGTATCCGGACCCAATTCTGTATCCATAGCCATGTCTGTCTCTTTCTACAGATTCTATATCTGAATCTATGACCATATTTATTTTCTGCCTCTTTCCAATTCATGTCTATGCCTCTGTCTATCTATATCTGTATAGCTACGCCGATAGCTGTATCTGTACGTAGGTCCACTTCCATTCCTGTGTCCTATCTGTATCCGTATTTCCTTTCCCATTGCCTCTCCCTTTTAATCCTGAATCTATTTCAGGTGAAAAACCAGTATCTGGCTCGTCGTTGACATATTTGTTGGAAGAAGAAATTCATCGTTAAGTAAATTCATGGATCTTTCTCAATTAATTCTGAGTATTTCTCATGAGAAAACAGGAGACACGAGGCTTAGAGAAGGAGAATTTAATGGGAAGCAGAGGCTGTAAGTAGGGTGGGTCACTGTCCTAGGCTGACTTCAGGGTTTAAAGCATCAGCCCTGGGCTGACACTGTAAGCACCATGAAGTACAGGTTGTTTTTTTTTTTTTTTGAGACGGAGTCTTGCTCTGTCGCCCAGGCTACAGTGCAGTGGCACAATCTCGGCTCACTGCAACCTCTGCCTCCCGGGTTCAAGCAATTCTCCTGCCTCAGCCTCCCAAGTAGCTGGGACTACAAGCGTATGCCACCACGCCCAGCTAATTTTTTTTTTTTTTTTTTTTTTTTTTTTTTTTGAGACGGAGTCTCGCGCTGTGTCACCCAGGCTGGAGTGCAGTGGCGCGATCTCGGCTCACTGCAAGCTCCGCCTCCCAGGTTCACGCCATTCTCCTGCCTCAGCCTCCGAGTAGCTGGGACTACAGGCGCCCGCCACCACGCCCGGCTAGTTTTTTGTATTTTTAGTAGAGACGGGGTTTCACCATGTTAGCCAGGATGGTCTCGATCTCCTGACCTCGTGATCCACCCGCCTCGGCCTCCCAAAGTGCTGGGATTACAGGCTTGAGCCACCGCGCCCGGCCAATTTTTGTATTTTTAGCAGAGACGGGGCTGCGCCATGTTGGCCAGTGATCCGCCCGCCTCAGCCTCCCAAAGTGCTGGGATTACAGGCGTGAGTCACCGTGCCTGGCCAAGTACAGTAATTTTTATCCAACTTCATTGCTCCGTCTGAATAAGGAGCCAATATTCTGCCTTTTTCTTTTCTTTGAGTTCTGCCTTTGTGCAGCAGATTGTCTCCAGATCTCCTCCAACAAAGAAAAGGCGGAAGTTGGAAAATAAAAAGAAAGAGCTTAGTGGCCTTTCTGCATGATTCCCTCACAGGGTTTTGTCCTAAAGCTTCTCGGAACCCGCTGTTCACCGCAGGACGTCTTGGTGAAACAGTCTCTGTATTATCCGCCTTATCTGTTAGGCAAATGCCAAATTCTTCCTTCTCTAGGACAAGGAAGTTGTGCTCCGCTGTTAAAATGAGGAATGTCTGGAATTCAGGGGTCGGCTGAAGTCACACCCAGGAGTAAAAGAAACACTTAACATTCTCTACGTGCAAGCCTTGGTTCCCAAAATGCCCTCCTTTAAGTTCACGTTGCCTGAACAATAAAGACGTGGGATTAACACAGCCAAATGAACCTCTTTCATAGAGGTACCATGGACTTGCATTGTGTATGATGTATCTATTGCACAGACATAGAATGGACCTGCATTGTGTATTATGTATCTATTGCATAAAGGTAGCATGGACCTGCATTGTGTATGATGTATCTATTGCATAGATGTAGCATGCACTTGCCTTATATATTATGTATCTATTGCACAGGCATAGAATGGACCTCCATTGTGTATTATGTATCTATTGCATAGATGTAGCATGTCCTTGCCTTATATATTATGTATCTATTGCACAGACCTAGAATGGACCTCCATTGTGTATTATGTATCTATTGCATAGACGTAGCATGGACTTGCCTTATATATTATGTATCTATTGCACTGACATAACATGGACCTGCATTGTGTATTACATATCTATTGCATAGACGTAGAATGGACCTGCATTGTGTATTATGTATCTATTGCATAGATGTAGCATGCACTTGTCTTATATATTATGTACCTATTGCACAGATGTAGAACGGACCTGCATTGTGTATTATGTATCTATTGCATAGATGTAGCATGCACTTGCCTTATATATTATGTATCTATTGCACAGACGTAGAATGGACCTGCATTGTGTATTATGTATCTATTGCATAGATGTAGCATGCACTTGCCTTATATATTATGTATCTATTGCACAGACGTAGCATGGACTTGCGTTATATGTTATGTATCTATTGCGTAGACGTAGCATGGACTGGCATTATGTATTATGTACCTATTGCATAGACGTAGAATGGACCTGCATTGTGTATGATGTATCTATTGCACAGATGTGGCATGGACTGGCATTATGTATTATGTATCTATTGCATAGACGTAGAATGGACCTGCATTGTGTATTATGTATCTATTGCGTAGACGTAGCATGGACTGACATTAAGTATTAGGTACCTATTGCATAGACGTTGCATGGACTTGTATTATATATTGCATCGATGTTGCACGGACTGGCATTATGTATTATGTACCTATTGCATGGAGGTAGCACGGCCTTGCATTATATATTATGTATCTATTGCAGAGAGGTCGCATGGACTTGCATTATGTATTCTGTATCTACTGCATAGACGTAGCATGGACCTGCCGCTCTATGCTCCACCGAAGGCATCACGGTGGCAGCCTCTATTCTCAATACCGGGCGCTGGACATCCCCAGATCCTCTGGGATCATTTCCTGTATCTATGTGCGTGACCGTGCCTCATCCCTGAATGCTGCCCGATGCTGCGGCTTTGGTGTCCCTGCGATGATTCACACTGACACATTTAAATCCCTAGGAGCGGCACCTCCGGTCCTGCAGGCGGGAAGGACAGACTCCGCGCCTGCTGGAACGTGACCAGAATGCATGCAGGTGCTCTGCACCTCATGCAGGGCTAGGGGTCCGCACCATGGTGTAGACAGGTGTGGGTGTGTGCACGCGCACGTGTGTCTGCTATGTTATGCTCAGGGGAGTCGTTCTGATATTTTTTACATGCAAAGAAAACCTTGTTCTATAGTAGCGATTCTTATCTGGGAGTGGTTCTGTTCACTACCCCCCCCCCCCCCCACACACACACCCCGGGACACTTGGCAATATCTAGGGACATTTTTGGCCGTCATAACAAGGTAGGGATGCTATGGGCATCTAGTGGGTGGAGCCCCAGGATGCTGTGCAGCACAGCCCCTTAGTTATCCATCTCCACAAGGCAATAGTGTTGAGGTCAAGAAACTCGGGTTTAACATGAGAGGCTCTATCTGTTTATGTCTCATGTGGCCATCACCTAGCATCCATCTGTATCTACCTATCAATTTTTTTGTCTGTCTATCTATCATCTATCTATCTATCTATCTATCTATCTATCTATCTATCTATCCATCCATCCATCCTTCTATCATTATCTATCTATCATCTACCTATCTAACCATCATCTATCATCACCATCATGTGTCTAACTATATTATCACCATCATCTATCTATCCACCTATCACCTACCTATCCATCCATCCACCCACCTATCTATCCATCCACTCACCTATCATGTATCTATCTATCCATCCATCCACCTAACATCTATCTATGCATCCATCTACCCATCCACCTATCTATCCATGCACCCACCTATCGTGTATGTATGTATGTATCTATCTTATCTATTTATCCAGCCAGCCAGCCACTCACCCACCTATCTATCATCTATCTATCTATCTATCATCTATCTATCCACCCACCCATCTATCTATCTGTGGCAGTGGTTTGCAACCAAGGAAAATTCTGCCCTTCAAGACATACTGCATAACATCTGAGGGCATCTTTAGTTGTCACCACCTGATGGAGGAGATCCTGGCCTCTGCTGTGTGGATCCCAGGGACGCTGCTCAACACCTTACAATGCCCAGGATGGGCCAACCACAGAGAGTCCTCCAGTCTGAAATATCAGTGACTGATGCTGAAGTTGAGAAACTCTGACATCAAGGTAATGCCTGGGCATAAGAGATTCTATCTGTCTGTCTATTTAATTATCAATCGTCTATCAATGCATCAATCATCTGTCCTCCTTTCAATCTATCATATCCTATCTATGCAGCTATCTATCCTGTTTATCATCTGTGTCTCTCTCTATCATCTATCTAGCATCTATTTACCTATCATTTATCATCTCTGTATCTCTTTATCAATAATCTTTATCCGTGTATCATCTATCTATATCTATCCAGCTATCGCTATCATTTATCTGTCTATGACAGTGGTTTTCAACTGGAGGTGATTTTTCTCCCTTGGGGTCACTGGGGAATATCTGAGGACAGCTTCGTTTGTCACAACTGTGGGGGTGCTCCTGGTATCTGGTGGGTGGAGCCCAGGGGCGCCGCGCAACTCCCTACAGCGAACAGGACAGCCCCTCCCCAGAGAATCCTCCAGCCCACACATGCCAGCAGTGCTGAGGCTGAGAAACGTTGTTTCAGAAAACGAAAGCATCTTAAGACACTCAATTTTTGATGCAAAAACAGCAAACTTGGTGATACCTTCCCCCCTCGCCCCCGAAAGTGGAAGTTTCAGCACAAAACTGTCACCGAAGCAGCCTCTGTGTCTCAAAAGTTCAACTTACAATCCCCATGACCTTGGAGTCACCGCCCTCGCTGGAAGGTACCATTTCCGGGCAAGTGGGTCACCACCCTCGCTGGAAGGTACCATTTCCGGGCAAGTGGGTCACCACCCTCGCTGGAAGGTACCATTTCCGGGCAAGTGGGTCACCGCCCTCGCTGGAAGGTACCATTTCCGGGCAAGTGGGTCACCGCCCTCGCTGGAAGGTACCATTTCCGGGCAAGTGGGTCACCGCCCTCGCTGGAAGGTACCATTTCCCGGCAAGTGGGTCACCGCCCTCGCTGGAAGGTACCATTTCCGGGCAAGTGGGTCACCGCCTTGGGTGGAAGGTACCATTTCCGGGCAAGTGGGTCACCACCGTGGGTGCAAGGTACCATTCCCGGGAAAGTGGGTCACTGCCTTCACTGGAAGGTACCACTTCCGGGCAAGGGGGGTCACCGCCTTGGGTGGAAGGTACCATTCCCGGGCAAGTCACCGTCTTGGGGGGAAGGTACCATTTCCGGGCAAGTGGGTCACCGCCTTGGGTGGAAGGTGCCATTTCCGGGCAAGTGGGTCACCACCGTGGGTGGAAGGTACCATTCCCGGCAAAGTGGGTCACTGCCTTCGCTGGAAGGTACCACTTCCGGGCAAGGGGGGTCACCGCCTTGGGTGGAAGGTACCATTCCCGGGCAAGTGCGTCACCGCCTTGGGTGGAAGGTGCCATTTCCGGGCAAGTGCGTCACCGCCTTGGGTGGAAGGTACCAGTCCCGGGCAAGTGGGTCACTGCCTTCGCTGGAAGGTGCCACTTCCGGGCAAGGGGGTCACCGCCTTCCCTGGAAGGTACCATTCCCCAGCAAGTCACCATCTTGGGGGGAAGGTACCATTTCCGGGCAAGTGGGTCACCGCCTTCCCTGGAAGGTACCATTCCTGGGCAAGGGGGTCACCGCCTTGGGTGGAAGGTACCATTCCTGGGCAAGGGGGGGGTCACCACCTTGGGTGGAAGGTACCGTTCCTGGGCCAGGGGGGTCACCGCCTTGGGTGGAAGGTACCATTCCCAGCAACTGGGACCCCACTGTGGGATCGTATCTGTCAGGCCTCTGAGTCAAAGCTCAGCCCTTATTACCCCCTGTGACCTGCACAAATACATCCAGTTGGCCTGCAGGAGCCAAGAAGTCTGCAGCAAAGAAAAAAAAAACTACAAAGAAGTAAAACAGCCAGTCCCTGCCTTAACTAAAATTACAATATTTTACTATTGGGACTTGTCCCTGCCCTACCTTAGCTGATCAATCAGCTCTGTGATGTTCTTCTTCTGGACAACGCGTCTTATGATCTGTCCACCATGCACCTTACAACCCCTCCTATGCTAACAAGAGATAACTACCTTTGGTTGTAATTTTCCATTACCTACCCAACTCCTATAAAGCCACGCCTTCCCCATCTCCCTTTGCTGACTCTCTTTTCCGGCTCAGCCCACTGGCACCCAAGGGAATAAACAGCTTTATTGCTCACACAAAGCCGTGTGGTGGTCTTTTCACACGGACGCGCGTGACGCTAATCCAGCAGTACTTCCTGCAGAACCCTGATCTTTTTCAAAAATCCACCACTTCAAAATGTATTGTGTGGAGGGCTTCGGGATGGAAGGAGTCTCCTCTCCTAAGCTTTGGGGGAGGAAGGGCTGCAAGTGACCGCTGAAGCCCCCTCTACCCCACCCAGCTTTCCCTTATAAAGGAGATCCTATGCCGAGTTTGGAAAAGGTATTGTAGATCCACAGGTGCACGCCTTTGCTTCGAGCTGTTGCATCTAAATTGGAAGGTTTTATTTAATTTGAAGGCCCTTCTTTTTCCTTTGCTTTTGTTTTTTGTTTGTTTTGTTTTTCTCTCTAGCTTATCATTCATACTGACAGATCCTGAGATCCACAGTGACCTGTGGAATTTTCAGAGGACAGCGCTAAAACCGGCAGGTCAGGGCGTCAGTGACTAATGTGGTTTGCAGCAAACACCCGGAGGGGCAGGGCTCTGACTGCAGGCTCTGTGTCTGTGCCCTTGGACAGAGGCTCAACCCCCGCGTCTGGGACTTTGAAGTTAGAAATGATGTGTCCGTGTGAAAGTCGCTAAATTAATTTCCGAGGGACCAGCAAACACTGCGGGGCAGCTGATAGGAAACTGGTAGAAATTTGAAATGGAAATCCAAGAAGGAGAGCCACGGGGAAGGAGGAGGGGTGCGGGGAAGGAGGAGGGGTGCGGGGAAGAAGGAGGGGTCCGGGGAAGGAGGAAAAGAGAGGAATCCTCACAGCAAGGGAGGGAAAGAGAGGAGGAGGAACATGCAGGGGTGGGGGGTGCAGTTGATTTTCACCAACACACAGTTTTGCAAGCTCTCCTTCCGTGCAAGGAGACCTTGCGTGTTTGTGTCCTGATAGATTTCAGTACTGGACCATATTAAGGCCAAGGAGAAACTCAGGCCATAGTAAGAAACGTCCAGCGTGTGGGACAATTTCTTCTAAACTGGATGAGCCCATTTGGAGGACTGCCTGAGCCCAGGAGTTTGAGACCAGCCTGGGCAATGTAGCGAGACCCCATCTCTACAATACGGAGCCTCTTAAACGTGCATCACGGCCACCTGGACAGGGTGGGATTTGGGGGGCAGGTGCATGTCCAGTGCCCACAGCACTAAGCTGCTTTAGGTGACTTCAAGCAAAACCAATAGATGGTCTCACAGTCCTAGAGGTCAGAACTCCGAAATGGGTCTCCCCAGGGTAAAATCCAGGTGTTGGCATGGCTGGTTCCTTCTGGTAACTCCAAGGGAGAACCCATTTTCTGACCATTTCTGTCTTCTATGGAATGCATTCTTCTTTTTCTTTTTGAGATGGAGTCTCGCTCCATCCCCCAGGCTGGAGTGCAGTGGTGCAATCTCGGCTCACTGCAACCTCCGCCTCCGGGGTTCAAGCGATTCTCCTGCCTCAGCCTCCCAAATAGCTGGGACTACAAGCACGCGCCACCACACCCGGCTAATTTTTGTATTTTTAGTAGAGATGGGGTTTCACCATCTTGGCCAGGCTGGTCTCGAACTCCTGACCTTGTGATATGCCTGCCTTGGCCTCCCAAAGTTCTGGGATTACGGGCATAAGGCACCGCATGTGAAGTAATTTTTATTAATAATGGTTTTGAGCATCCAGTGTCCCATTTGGTTATAGACAGAGGAATGGCAGAGTATGAATAGGTTGATGTGGTTACTCTGTTGAAACGCTAAGAACCACCTTTCTGGGAATTGCAGAGGGTAGGTAATTGCAACTCCCTTCTGTCTTCTAGGTGCTATGTCTGTGGACACACCCTGGGATATATTTTCTTCTCTGTCTTTCCAAGCAAGTCCACACAAAACACTAGGCAAGAATCTTAGATGGAAAAACAATGAAAAAGCAACCAGTGACCCGAGGCAGGGGTAAGGAAAGGAGAGTGACTGCCCTGGAGTTGGAGTCCATGTCCCACCGTAAAAGCAGTGTGCAATTTTTATAAGCACCCTTGGGTCCAGACACCATCTTCTTCTTTCCAAAAGGAGTATCTTCCAATCCACGGGAAGGCCAGAAAAAGGGGTGGACCATTGTTTCATGTAAAAACTTGGCTGCACCTTTGGAGAAATGTCTGTTCATATCCTTTGCCCACACTTTGGTGGGGTTGTTTTTGTGGTGTTGTTGTAAATTTGTTTAAATTCCTTGTAGATTCTGGGTATTAGACCTTTGTCAGATGGATAGATTGCAAAAATTTTCTCCCATTCTGCAGGTTGCCTGTGCGGCCCACAAACACATGAAAAAAAGCTCATCATCACTGGTTATTAGAGAAATGCAAATCAAAACCACAATGAGATGCCATCTCAGGCCCGTTAGAATGGCAGGTATTAAAAAGTCAGGAAACAACAGATGCAGGAGAGGATGTGGAGAAATAGGAATGCTTTGACACTGTTGGTGGGAGTGACAATTAGTTCAACCGTTGTAGAAGACGGTGTGGCGATTCCTCAAGTATCTAGAACCAGAAACAGTATTTGACGCAGCAATGCTATTACTGTGTATGTACCCAAAGGATTATAAATCATTTTACTATAAAAACGCATGCACACATATGTTTACTGCAGAACTATTCACAATAGCAAAGACTTGGAACCAACCCAAATGTCCATCAGTGATAGACTGGATAAAGAACATGTGGCACACAGACACCATGGAATACTATGCAGCCATGAAAAAGGATGAGTTCATGTCCTTTGCAGGGACATGGATGAAGCTGGAAACCATCGTTCTCAGCAAACTAACACAGGAACAGAAAACCAAACACCGCATGTTCTCACTCGTAAGTGGGAGTTGAACAATGAGAACACACGGGCACAGGGAGGGGAACATCACACACCGGGGCTGTCAGGGGGTTGGGGGGCAAGGGGAGGAGAGCATTAGGACAAATGCCTAATGCATACAGGGTTTAAAACCTAGATGATGGGTTGACAGGTGCAGCAAACCAGCACGGCGCATGTACACGTATGGAACAAACTTCCACGTTCTGCACATGTATCCCAGAACTTGAAGTAAAAAAAGAAAACAACCCCAAAACTTAACTGCACCTCGAATGCATATTACCAAGTGAAAGAAGGCAGTTTCCAAGAGGCACTTACTGCATGAAGGCATGTATATGACTTTGTGGACTCGGCAAATATTGAGGCGAAAAACAGACCCGTGGTTGCCAGAGGTTAGGGCAGAGGATTGGGGCTGACGGCGGATGGGCAAGGTGAGGGAATTCGCTGCGGTCACGGACTTGTTCTGAATCCTGATAGGGTCTTGGGTACCGGAATGCATCCATGGATTAAAACTTACGACGGCGCACCGACCCAGAAAGAACGGCAACCGAGAAAGAGCGCAGGCTTGTTGTGTACTACAAGACAAGGGTTTGCAATGACCTACCCTCTGCCATGCCCGGGAAGGGTGTCCTTGGCATTTCAACAGAGTAACCACATCCGTCTTACAAGGTTGAAGATGGGATTCCCACAGGAGCCAGCCATTGCCCTGCTGGGTCTATACACCCCCGCCCTCAAGTTGGGACCTGAAGCAACATTCGCACACGTGGTCACAGGAGCGTTACTCACAATAGCCCCAGTGTGGAAGGCCCCCCAAGTGGGGACCAGGTGGTCACTGGCAGATGAATATGTCAGCAAAATGTGGTCTGTGTATATGGTGGAATACTATTCAGCCTTTAAAAAGGATAGACACTCTGGTCAAGCGTTGACAAACCGTGAGGACATTACGCTGAGTACAAGAAACCAGTCATAAAAAGGAAAAATACTCTGACACCACTTGAATGAGGTTCTCAGAGTCATCACATTGGGATCAACAGAGAGGAAGTAGAATGGGTCAGGTGCGGTGGCTCACACCTGCAATCCCGGCACTTTGGGAGGCTGAGGCGGGTCGACTGCCTGAGGTCAGGAGTTCGAGACCACCCTGGCCAACGTGGTGAAACCTTGTCTGTACTAAAAATGGTACCTGTAATCCCAGCTACTGCGGAGGCGGAGGCAGGAGAATTGCTTGAACCTGGGAGGCAGAGGTTGTAATGAGCCGAGATCGTGCCACTGTACTCCAGCCTGGGTGACAAAGCAAGACTCTGTCAAAAAAAATAAATAAATAAAAAAGTTAAAATGGTAAATTTCATGTTATGCATATTTTATCATAATTCATTTTTTAATTAAAAAAGACACCTAAGTGCAAAACTTCAGAGAGAGCATACAATCACCCTTAGGGTTAGGAACTCAATATTGGAAGTGCTGTCTGCATTGCTTGATATGTCATCGCTTTAAGAGGTTTCTCTCTGTGTGGTGCAGCATCAGGGGCATCCATAATGGGTACGTAGAATGTGTGCACACCTGAAGACGGGGGCTGGGGTACAGGGTAGAATGCTTTGCTGACAAAGGTGTGTACCTAACCCGGGAGCCCGCAGGTGCAGCAGCACCCCGCACCTGACTCTCACCGACTGGCCCACAATCTAGCCGAGAATCTAGCTGCATCCAGCAGAATCTAGCTCCAGAACTGAGCTGAAAGTGCTGCTGAGAAGTTTTGGTTGGAGAAAGGCCAAGCCTGTAATTGTCCCTGGGTGCTTGACAAAGGCCAGCCCTGACGTCTTCCCTCCCCACATCACTGTCCCCGGAGTAGGTATGGAATCGGCTGTGTGCAGATGTGAGAAGTGCTTCTTAGAGAGGGCTGGTGGATCCCGGCCAGCATGGGTGCCAGCAGGTGGAGGCCGGTGCGATGTTTATAGCCAGCAGCTTCTCCTCTACGCCTCTGCATCCCAGACCCTGGGAGACGCCCAGATTCCTGCCCCTCCGCACTTGGAAAGGGAGAAGCCTCTCCTTTGAAGATGAAGCAGTGGCGCTCTGGGGCTGCTGTGGATCTCGGGGCGTTTTATCTTTCTTGTCTTGTTTTGGTCTGGAAGACAGTGATAATTCACTCGGAATTTTAATGTGTTCTCCAGTTATGCAATTCTAAAATCTTGCGCATAGAGTTTTAAATGTTTGTCAAGGTTGGTTCTTCAAAGGGAGTGATTCGGACCTCCCACGGCATATTTGGAAATGTCTGTAGACATTTTCCGTTGTCACCAGGGAGGTGGAGGTGGAGGAGGTAGGTGCTCCTGGCCCCTGGTGGGTGGAGCCCAGGGGCGCTGGTCAACACCGGACAGTGTACAGGACGGACGGCCCCACCACAGAGTCATGCACCCCCAAATATCCGCAGCGCTGAGGCTGAAAAAGTCTATCTTAGCATGAGTGACTCTCTCACATTGCTCCTTCTCTCTTCTCCCTTTTCTCCTCCTTCCTTCACCCATCTCTCTGTGTATCAATCTATAGCTCTCTCTCCGTTAACCTCTCTCTCTCATCAATCTCTCTACCCATCCATCTACCATCTATCTAGTCCATCCATCCATGCATCCATCATGTATGTCTATCCATCCATCAATCATCTATCATCTATCAATCCATTCATCTCTCCATCTTTCTACCATCTATGTATCTAGTCTATCTATCTATCCATCTATCATCTATCTATCCATCTATCTATCATGTCCCCATCTGTGCCTCTGCATCCCAGACCAAGAGAGATGCCCAGCTTCCTGCCCCTTGGCACTCAATGATAGAGAAGACAGGCTGGGAAACCTCTGTCTTCTATCTATTACCTAGGTATCTGTGTATCTATCCATTCATCCATTCACATATCCAT